CATAAACAGATCACTCTAAAACTACAAAAAACGGCTTACGTTCAATTCACTACCAGTTTTTAAGGAACTACCCCCCTAGGCCAAGGGGTAAATCAAGAATGCCATTTTGGAGTGAGGCAAAAGAGCTAAATGACAAAAATGTTGACATCGAGGAAAAATAGATCCAGCAGCAATGGAACACAATTGACATCATTAATACATTTCTTATCATGGACCCTACAACTAAACCTAATGGCTTTGTTTTACCAAGGTGGAGCTGGACAACGTTGAACAGGATTCCTACTGGATAAGGTGGATGTAACTACCTACTACATAAATGGAATTTTATTAAAGATCCCAAATGTGAGGGTGGAGAAATCCAAACTATAGCACACATCATGGAGGAATGTCCTATTTATCATTTCAATGGTTGTAGTTAAGACTTGCACCAGACTACAGATGATGCCTTGCAATGAATATCAAATCTAAAACTGTCATGCTAGCCTTATCCCTCAGTGCTGTTGTTTATAGGTTGTTTATAGTTTGTTCTGTCGTTCAGTTGTATCCCATATGAACAAAATAATAAATAAATTGTTCATTCTCGCCTCTGCTGGAAGGGAAGGTGTTCTTTCCCTTCCCATGTACGTTGGGCCTTTCCCATCTTGTATGTCATCAATTGCATCCCTTTGGGGAAACCCCCAAACCAGCAACAGAATACATTTTTGGTTTTTTAAATTTTGAAGTTCGAACTGAACATTTTACTTGCCCACCTGAATGAAAAAAAAAACCTTTAAGTTCAATTCCACCCTGATAAGGTATGAGTTTTCAATTCCAGTAACTTCTCTGGGGGCTGTGCAGGTATATCTGAATACACTCTACATAAATTGTCTTCCAATATCCAAACACAATTAGGAAAGGCAGGCAAGGTAGCTTAATCTGTGATAAACCCAGAATTAGGAACAAACAAGTATTTCAGGCCACTTTTTCTTTAGGATCAATAAACAGATGTGCCTGGTCAAATGTTCTTCAGTCACTTGAAGTGCACTGATATAACCAAGAGCACAATTCAAGCTACCGTGTCTATCAACTCTTCCATACTTTGGACAGTTAAGCCTCATTATGCAAATATTTTGTACAAAGAGCTCCCATTGCTAAGACTCAGCAGATGCATAACCTGCTTTTTGGCTCCAAATTTCTAACTTTTCAGCACAGATCAGACTGTGTGGGGGGAGGAGGGGTATAAGGGAGGTTTTCAGTTTGTCAATTAGCATTAGAAATTAAGCACAACTAAATTATGCTAAATAGGTAGGAAATTGTGCTTGGCTTTATGTAAAAGCGCTGAGGGCAAATTATGGCCTTCAAACTTTGTTGCTATTATTGCTTTGTTATGTGCAGCCAGATCTCTAAGGTGCTGGTCCAATATTTTAAAACACTCATTTTCAGCTCTGCTGCGATGAGGCCACCCTTTCTTTATTACTTTATTGTTATCTTAATGTTGTAAATTAGGGGCACGTTATGAGGTCTCATCACGAAAAAGTTTGAAACTGACCATTAGATCCATACAGAGCTAGTCAAATAATGAGAACCTATTTTTGTGAAATACTTTGAAATGTCAAAGTTATTTTCAGTCTAAAAAGATTCATTCTAAGGAGCATTTTTCATGGTCTAGAAATTGTTTGTGATCTAGTCATTTCTTTTGCAATTTTTTTATTAAAATATTGAAATGGTTATCACAACATTTAATTTAACTGAAAATAAAAATTGGAACTGTCTTTTACATAATCTCTTTAATAATACTCTAATATAGTTAATAAAAATGGCAGTACCAACATTTTAGGAATAAAGTAATCATTTAATTTTAAGGAATAATATCCCATTTTTAAATGAAAAACTATCCGCTACCCTTCTGAAAAATTACAACCAGCTAGATGATTACAAGGAGACTGAGATGACAGATAAGCTATCTAAGGGCTTGGTGTTAATGACCTCCAGACTGGTCCCAAATGACACACTACACAGAAAGGCTGCTTGAAAGCTTCCACTATAAGATCAGCTATAGGAAGTTTGCTACATTACTAATTCTATTGGTTTCCAGTTAGCTTCTGAGTGTGGTGCATTGGGGGTTCATTTAGAGCCTTAAACGCCTATATGGTGCGCGTATCTACATGAAACGCTTGCTGTGGAGCTGACTAATTAGCTCCACAGTAAAGGTCACTGTCTACACCTGTGGTGCTATTAGGATGGAGTAAAATAATTAACTCTGCCATAAGACAGTACTTCCCAACACAAGTATTATCCTACAGTGGAGTCATTTACTCAACTGCAACAGACATGTAGATGCTGATGGGCCTGACTGGGGCACACGGGTGCTTCAGTGTGGGGTCTGCCTGCTGGCTAGTTCCACAATGAAGCACCCTTATGCCCCAGTCAGATCTTCTCAGCAGGTTGACCCAGGTCAGCGTAACCTCAGGCTGAATAAGCCCAGGAGCCAAAAATTCCTGCAGAAACTGCACTGGAGTTTATTCATCCATATTCATTGCACATGTAGACATGCCCAGTGTGGTTCAACATATGTGAAAGTTTGCCTCTCTGCTGTCCACTGCAAAATCAGCTAATACTTTTTGTTAATAGCTCAGAAATTTGCACAGCTGGAGGCTGCGACGGGGGCTAAGGATAGAGGTTGAGTTTATGCTCTTACTGTAGCAGAATTAAATGTGAAAAGCTTCTTCTGATGCTGCTAATTTTTGTAGTAGTGTTGTAACATTGTTGTCACCATAAAAGTCAAGTGAATATGTGAGCACCAAAATTTGTTCAGTAATAACTTAAACATTTGAGGCCAGATTCTCATTTACAATAAGGCCATTTTATATTGTTTTGCTCTGGCACTGCTCTTGGCCTTATTTTAATAGTGACACAGGCCCATTGACTATATTTTAAATGTTAATTTGCTCAGGGGCTTAGACAACAAGTACAGGTTATTTATAAACACGTAGATGACTAACTTTCCCATCATGGAGCATCTACTCTAGTGACAGTAAAACTTCTTAGTAAATTTCCAAAGGTACTTCTCCGTACCCAAAATCAACACACACAAGTCTCTCGTAAAACTTCAGCTGTGCCCCATACCCAAATAGGATGTTCACGTCAGGGTCATATCTCTCCCCCTTTAAAAACCGGATGCATTTACACAATATATATTTAAATCTATCTTTGATAAATGCCATTAAAACAAAATATTTATGGTTGTTTGTAACTGCTTTTTAAAAATAAAAATAAATTACTATAAATGGTTTTATTTATAAGTGTAAAATACAATGCCATGTGATGCAACGTTCTGTCTGATCTGCAGCAGCAGCACACAGGCATCACCAGAAAGAGAGAAAAACTAAAGCCATTAAGGACTGCCTTATCTCTTTTTCGTACCTCTAAAAATGTCATCCTCAAGACAAATCTATGTTAAAGATGGCCTCTTCCAGATATCACAACCTTGAGCCTGCCCCATGCACTAATGGAAACAGAGCTGAAAGAGGAGGAGAGAAAGTCTTAGACTCACAATCATATTTGTTTTTAGGGGATCTGAGAGGATCCCAGAACATGGCTGACACATTACATGATTTTCCATGATCCAGCCTCTTTAAACCTCTCTCTTCATTCATTTCTTATATCAACTAATTCTTCATTGGCAAAGTAATATGGCCATTTTAATAACAGTTCTGACATTTGAAGGACTAGCCTCACAAAACATAACCTTGGAATGTGTATCTGAGTGGATATATACCCACCTACATATGTGAACAGATCACGTCATGAAAATAATGTGCCTGTTTTACAACAGAGAGGAGGTGAAAGAGTACGTGTGAAATGGAAGAGGACAGTTGTGTTCAAGGCCTTTTAGTTGGGAAGAGTGCAGGCATGAAAGACCCCTAGTTGCACCAGGGTCCAGATAGAAGTAGGAATGGAGATGAAAACAGCTAATAAAAACTTTTAAATACTAATTTTACTTTATAAAAACATCAAGCATTCTACCTTTCTGCCAAATATCACTAAAACAATCTAAATTTATGATATAACTTTTAAAAATAAAATAATATGATTTTCTCTCTCAAGGACAGAAGGGACAATATTTCCCCTTTAATTATGCTGGGTTACATGGCATATGTACATATGTAGAACTCTACTGACTTCACTGGAGTTATTCATGGTTTACACCACCGTAAATCAGGTCAGACACAGACCCATGGTCTTTAGATTAATTGATTTCCTTTCTTTTTCTAACACCAAAAAATTGTGTTAGTGGTGCATTTAATAATACAGATTCCTTCTTTGAGAACAGGTCATTTTAAGCTAAAGTAAAGAGTCTTTAAAGCAAACAAAACATGCATAGTAAGAAGCATGCCAAGGACTAGATTATATTTAAAATACAATGTCACAAAGACAAATATATAATATCAAGTATTTGTTGTGAAACCTATAGCATTTTATATCAATTTTTATTAGAGGAGACATTTGTGACAGCGACAAACACTAACCTCAATTTAAATTATATACTTACATAATGGCATTTAGGAAAAAAAATCTTAAAGACTCACCAGACACAGGAAGTTGAACGAGGCTCTCGAAAATAAATGTTATAGAAGGCAGAACATTCTAAGTGCAGGTGGGAGATAAAGAAGAAAATGTGAGCTCTAAGTTTTTTCTTCAGTTGAATTTTCCTTACCAGGTTCTCAGTATTTTACTTAAGAAAGATAAAAAAAAGCCCAGGAGACTGGGTTTAGTTAATCTGCTGGCAGGGACAGCAAAGCAAGATGTAATGTAACAAGAAATAGGCGAGTGGTTTAGTATAAGTCAGCTTCCTGGAGAGGGTTCTCAGCTCTGCCTGCGTGGGTTTTGTTGTGGGTTTGCCTGTGAGTGTGTCTTCTTCTCTCTGATGACTATATATGAATGTATGTAAAACCTACCCACAGAGCCAGATGGGGGGAGGGGAACAAGGCAAGTCCATACTGCACTACGGTGTCTCTGCAGCTTGCTGCTCCCTTTGTCACCTCCTCTCTGTTGTTCTTGCATGGGAATAGCACAGCCCACTCACTTATAAGGAAAGCAGCCCAGCTGCCCACAGTCTTATCTATAATTCAAACTTCCACCAGCTTGAAGGGGGGCTCTGGTGCATAGACACCTGCCCTAAAACGATTAAATTAATTTAGTGGACCTACTACAAAGCCTAGTGCGGATGTTCCTTAACTGATATAAGCCTAGTTCATCAGAGTGTAGCTTAATTAGATGAAGAAATTAATTAAGATGAATGGAATTAAATATTTCCACACTGGATTCAGCATTAATTTCAGCTAAATTAAATTAATTTTAAAGTCACACCTTTCATTAAACCGATGAAACTCTGTCAAGGCCTTGGTCCTAACTCAAAAAATGAAGAAAGAGAGAGTGATTTAGGTCATTGATGGCATAGCAAATATCCTGTCTTGACAATTAAAAGAGTAAGCTTTTCAATCATGTTAGTTCAAATCAGTTTGTGCAGGATAACTGAAAGGCCCTGTTAAGACTCAGGCCTTGCTTACCTTTGAATTTTTTTCTGGTATATCCTCCTGGAAATTTAAACCGTATCACTATACCAGTATAACTTCAATGTGTAAACAAGTCATTCTCAACCAGGGTGCCACGGCATCTTCTGGTGCACCAAGATCCTTTTAAGGGTGATGCACAATATTAGCACTATTACGTGTGCACACTTACACACAACTCACAAGATAAAGCCAAAAATTTCAAATAGGAATCCATACTGTCAAAACCATTCGGACTTGTTGTGATCTTTCTGAGTTCTTTGCAACAGAAGAATCATTCTATTATTTCTCTGTAGTCAAAAAAAACAAGTGGAAGTTAAGAGATGGCATTTTCCAAATGGTGCTTCAAGTTCAGTGAGGAGTGCCTTGCATCTAAAAAGATTAAGAACCACTGGGATAGGGTTTAAGATGAATCAGTCTTTACCAGAAGCAGAATATGTCCACAAAGGAGGGATTGCACTTGTATAAACATGAGAATGGGCACACAAGCAACTTAGCATTAAGTAAAGTAGGGTTTAAATTTCCAGTGGCCGCATCTACATGAGTGGCGGACTGTGCAGTTGTTACTGTGCAGTCATTTAGTATTTGGATGAGCTCATGCACACGCTAAATGAATGCACAATAACTGGTGTTACTATGCAGTACCATCACCACATGGTTTTTTTCAGAGGCTACTGTGCAGTCACAACAAGCTACTGCACAGTAGATCACTACTACTGCACAATATTGTCACCGCATGATTAGTGCCCGCTAATGCTACCATATGGTCGCAACAAGCTGCTGCACAGTAGCATCTCATATAGGTGTGCCCAGTGTGTCAGCTACTTTGCAATAAATGCTTATGTGTACATTCTTACTCCATAGAAAATGAGAGGAAGCTGACTTTTCAGTGAAAAGCAGGTATGTTATTTTGTATTTATCACAGGGGAAGAGTATACACACAGGCAGTTTCCAGAGAGCAACTGATATGGTGTAGCTGTAGTTTCTGGGAAGGATGGGATTGAGTACACCCCTCCCACCTAGGAGGGAGTCCAGAGGTGGAACTTCACTAACAAGGTGGCTCAAGAATCATCCCCAGACGGTGTTCTTGTGTCTTCAGTCTCTGGCTGGTCTGAGAATGGGCTTTAGGGATGAATCTGGAGAAGCCTCATAAGTGATCTTCCAGTTCTGGAGTGCAGACTAGGATGGGAAGAACATCCTCAGTCCCATTCTCCCCAAGGACCTGCATTGATGTGGTACAGACAATACCACTAAGTCCACACCTTAGTGTACCTCATGCTAACTTGTTCAACTGTCCATACTGTATATTAGATAACTGATAAAACTTTCCCAGGTCTCAGATTTGAAACCTGAGACAAGGTCTCAGATTTGAAACCAGTTAACTGACTATATTGTACCATAAATACAAGTTGGTCAGTCAGAATCATTTCCAACGTTAGCTTGTATCTTAGGCTTGGTATATACAAGAGCTGTGATTTAATCCTTTCAGACCGGGCAATTTCCTAACTAAACAATTACAGCTGTTTATCTCCTTATGTGAAAGGAAAATCCCCTATTTTGGCAAAAAAGGATCCCAGCTTAAACTGGAGTTCATACTGAGGCTGATGGGACTTCCTTGTCTGATCCTCCCACCCCGAGACAAACAACCCCCCCCAGTGAGCCAACCCCCTGATCCTGCCCCTCCCCCATCCTAACTTACTTCAATTGGCTCCCAGCACTAGCAAATGCCAGTAAAATGCACTGGGAGCAGCTTGTGGGATTGGGAGTTTGATGGGCTCAGTGCAGCTGGCTGGTCACTGGAGAGGAGAGACTGTTTGGCTGGGGATAGAGGGAGGGGCTGAGGGCTAAAAATAGCCCAGTGGCAGGGGTGCGGGTTTGGGTAGGAAAAGGGGGCTGTGCTCAGAATATGTACAGAAGTTCAGTTAGATCAGTCTAACTGTGCCCAATCTAACTTAGCGCACCTCCGAGGTACAGTTAAATTAGATTGGGTCGGCCATTTTTTGACTGATCTAACATTCCTGGAACTTCTGCACAGCTCACATTGAGATTGACCTAACTAGGGATCTCAGTGTAAAGTCTGCATGTGGGTGAACTAAGTTAGATCAGGTGGCCATTATTAATGTGGTCTAACCCTGTCAAATGTCTGTACCCACCCTGTGAGTCACACAGATCCTACTTGCACTTTTGCCAATAACTGGCATAAACTGCTCTTACTACAGTTTCTCCCATATAATGCACTCTGAAATCTCCAGAAGCTGCTTTTTGGGAAACAAACATGTGCTACATGCAAGAAAATGTGGTATATTATGTTAATATGAGCTAACATGAGTGGAAAACATGCCCTTTTTGCCCACCAAGACAGGTTTTAGATTATAGGTACATGATCTAATTACTTTGAGATCAAAGAGAGTAGGGTTTTATTATGCATCAGTTCCACAGTTACTGCCCAGGTGCACCCACTTATTCCATAGTAAATGTAAGATAAGCCTCAGTAGCACCTCAATGAAAGAGGTATAAGTTTATTGCTGGTTAGCTTTAATTTACCATAGTGTAAGAGTGTGTGCACCTAGGATAGTAAGCAGCATCTGATGTGTGGTAACTTGGTCATGTGACTCCATCCTTAGGCTTTGTATCGACAGAAAAGTTTTTCAGCAGAGCAATTTTTTCCTGCTATAATTATACAGGTATATATTTAACCTAAAAGAGTACTGAAACCATTCAAATTCATGCTGATTTGTTTTAAATAGCATAAACTAATGTCTTTGTGAATCGCATTGTCACTGGCTCACAAATGCCACTTCTAGGCCTACTTCTGGGACAGGAGAGTGCAGCAGTAAAATCAGGAATGACTGGCAGTTGCTGCAGAACATTAGATGTAGAAGACCACTTCCTGGAAATCTCCATGAAGTTCATTCTAGAGGAGTGCCAGGGCCCAGGCATGGAAGTCCCATCATCCTCAGTATGAACTCCAGTTTAAGCTGGGAGCCTTTTTGCTTCCAGACTCCCTACAGCACAACTAAAAGTTTAGCCCTAGTGAGAGCTAGGGATCTTAACCTTTTTTTTGACTCCTGGCTCTGTGGCAGGGAGGTTGACTCCAAAAGTGTTGGTCCCAGATCCGTGGCAATCCAAATTGCTCCCTGAACCTGATTTGAAGACCATGAATTCCCAAGTTCCTCATCAATCTGCTAGCAAATCAGACCAATTCCTTTCAGAACTCTGTCTGTTCTGACAAAACCTTGTTGAAACCAAGATGTTTTTCATATAACATTTAAATGTTGACAAATTAGTTCCTGACTAGCACTAGCCAAGATGCCCCTGGAACGATGGAAAGCAAACAGATACCACACTGGACAAATCAGATGTGAAGCAATGCACTGTGTGATAGATGTGGAATGACTCTCTGAAGTGAAAGAGTTAGTTCAGAATGAAGATATGTCCACGGGAACCTTGTGTCTGTATAATTCCTTCAAAAATAGATAGGGATTCCAAAAAAGGACTGATTATAGTGAAATAAGATGCAACAAAGAAAGATGCAAGGCAGCTTGTGCCAAAAAGTCTAAACATATACCGGAAAAAAAAATCTCTCCCATATAGAGAAGACTAAAGCTGCCCAGATAAGCTCCACAAAACAGGACTGTATGTGAAGCACAATCCACTCTGGTAACCAGGAAGAAGGAGGCAATACTAAGTGGCAAAGGCTCTGTTCTTAAAAACTGCACTAAGGGCACTTACACAAGTTACATTTTTCACACGATGAGGCCTTTGAAAGCTCTCTACAGCCATGTTATTCACAGCTGCAAAGTGCTTTTAAATTACCTCATTGTGCGAAAAACTAACCCTCATTAACTCAGCTATTAGCTGAAGGCGCTGTAGAGCAGAGTGCCTTAGGGAACTTCTGTTCAGGTTCCTTGTGAGGATTAAGTGAGGATGATTCTGCCCACATCCCATGTGCCTTTGTGGGGCTCTTGCAGAGAAGACACAACCTCATCCCTATGCAGAGCGGGGAGGGAGGGAGAAAGAGGGGTGGGGGAAGGTACCCCTGCTGGGGTCTTGGGGGAAGCCAGCCCAGGCCCATGAGGCAAGGGGGCTCCATTCCCTCCTCCTCTGCTCCGCGCCCCCCACACCACAACTCTGGCTGCTGCAAAGCCGAGCTGGCAGCTATGTATTCCCGCTGTCAAAAGGCTCAGGTGGGGCACTGGGGGAACAAAGCCCCTTGCCTTGTGGGCCAAACCTGGCTCTCCCCAATACCCCAGCCAGGGTACCTGGGGGGCACCTACGAGGTGGTCGGAACTCCCTTCCCCCATGCCCCTGCCCAAGCCTCTTGACAGCAGCAGCACGCAGCTACTGGCTTGGCTTTGCCACAGCTGACCTGGGGAAAGGAGGCAAGGTTGAACAGAGCCCCCTCACCTCATGGCACCGCCCCGCCCACTGGGGTATTGCGGGGAGCTGGGCTGGGCTCATGTGGCAAGTGGGCTCTCTTCCAACATCCCCCTGCCAACTCTAGACACAGCAAAGCTGAGCTGGTAGCTCCAAGCCAGCAGCTGTGTACTGCTGCTGTCAAGAGGCTTGGGCAGGGGGTGGGGAAAGGGAGCCCCTTGCCTTGCAGGCCTTACTCCCTCCAATACCCTAGCCGGGATGTCTGGGGAGGGCCTGCAAGACTGGTGGGGCTTCTTTTCCCCAGCCCCCACCCAAGCCTCTTAACAGAGGCAGCACACAGCTGCCGGCTCAGCTTTGCTGTAGCTGAAACTGGGCTAGGGGACATGGGGCTGAGGAGAGGGGCGGTTCGACAGCCTCCTGAGAGGCTACTGGAGTGTCCTTGCCTGCAGGCGAGGGCCAGTGTGGGCAAGCTTGAGCCCTCCAACTGAATGCCTATTGGATTCAATGGCACTCTAACTCATGGTACTTCGCCATGAGATAGAGCGCCTCCCCGACAGGCTGCCTAAATGTCAGTAGGCACCCTTAGTCAACAGACAGCAGTTTAGTATAGCACATTGTTGTACAGTGGGAAAAAGGTGGGGAGGACAAGAACTCTGTGATGGGCTCAGAGGTTATCCTTTCCAGGTCACTTTAGGGCATATTATACATATCCCTCCCTCTGGAAGGGATGATTTAACAGGATCTAGAAGGGAAATGACTCCAGAAGGGACATCAGCCCAACCTTGCTTTCACTGTGT